GTAATTTCTAGGATATTGTTTAACAAAGGAAGTTCAGATGACATAAGAGGAATTTTTTTAAATGTAATTCATAATGTAGTTTTGAATTCACTGCCTGTAGGTTGGCAGTAACAGATTAAATGCTAGGCCTCATGAAGGATTCAAGACATCAGGAGAGCAATAATGAAGTAGAATAACACTGTCTGGTGCAAACCTTCACAATATAGGGATTTCAGTAAGGCGTTCAACAAGGTTCCTCATAGTAGACTGCTTAGCAAGCTTATTTCACACAGAATAGAGGGAGAACTAGCTATTTGGATACAGAACTGGCTCAAAGGTAGAAGACAAAGGGTAGTGGTGGAGGGTTGACTTCCAGGCTGGAGGCCTGTGACCAGCAGTGTGCCACAAAGATCGATGCTGGGTCCACTCCTTTTCATCATTTATATAAATGATTTGGATGTGAACATAGGAGGTGTGGTTAATAAGTTTGCAGATGACACCAAAATTGGGGGTGTGGTGAGCAGTGAAAAAGGTTACCTCAGAGTACAAGGGGATCTTGATCAGATGAGCCAATGGGTCGAGGGGTGGCAGATGGAGTTTAATTTAGATGAATGTGAGGTGTTGCATTTTGGAAAGGCAAATCAGGGCTGGACTTATAGATTTAATGGTAAGGTCCTCGGGAGTGTAGCTGAACAAAGAGACCTTAGAGTGCGAGTTTATAGTTCCTTGAAAGTGGAGTTGCAGATGGATAGGATAGTGAAGAAGGAGTTTGGCATGCTTGCCGTTATTGGTCAATGCATTGAGTAAAGGAGTTGGGAGGTCATATTATGGCTGTGCAGGACATTGGTTATGCCACTTTTGGAATACTGCGTGCAATTCTGGTCTCCCTGTGAAACTTGAAAGGGTTCAGAGAAGATATACAAGGATGTTGCCAGGGTTGGAGGGTTTGAGCTATAGAGAGAGGCTGAATAGACTGGGGTTATTTTCCCTGGAGCGTCGGAGGCAAAGGAATGACCTTTATAGATGTTTATAGGAGCATGGATAGGGTAAATCGAGGTGAGAGGGGAAAGATTTAAAAGGGACCTAACAGGCAACTTATTTGCTTGGAGGATGGTGCATGTATGGAATGAGCTGCCAGAAGATGTGGTGGAGGCTGGTAAAATTACAACATTTAAAAGGCATGTAGATGGGTGTATGAATAGGAAGGGTTTAGAGGGATATGGGCCAAAAGCTGGCAAATGGGACTAGATTTATTTAGGATATCTGGTCAGCATGGATGACTTGGACCAAAGGGTCTGTTTCTGTGCTGTATATCTCTGTGACTCTATGACTTTGATTTTGCTAGCATTTTCCTGTGTATTACTAAAATGACGTGTTGCTAAAGATTTTCAAATTGCTGTCATCAGGATAAATGCAAGAATGCCAAATTGAAAACAAGGACAACAATTTACACCAAAGGCAAAAGTTGTACTGACTGGCTGGCAGGTTGACTGATTAAGAAAGGCATTCACATGGAGAAAGCAATGGAGAATCACAGGCATCGCATAATCTGAATAGGTGCAAGGATTACACACATTCATTTTATTTGCATAGAACAGGTTGTTGCATGAATACATGCCAAATCTAGAAAGTGGAAATGAGCCATATTACAAACTTGACTGATTAACTGAAATTGGCTGTTAGTGTAGCTATTAGCACACTCGAAGTTGTTCAGCCAGTGTGGTTCAATTACGGATTCACATTTAACAGTAGACCTGGTTTTTTTGCAGTTTTTCAAACATAGGCTGGTTGAGGTCAATCTGTACTCTGTCTAGTATGAATAGCCAGGGAAACGTGTTATTTTATTCAATCAGCCAGTCATTGGCACATATAGTCTGTACGTCAGATCACGTCAGCACTGCAGTGACTATCACCTCTCAAACAGCAATAGCACTGAGAAGGTAAGTGCTTTGAACAGTACCCTGACTATGGCTGAAGCTCTTCACTGTAACTGTTTGAAAGGCTTTCAGCTTGTCAGTTTCACTCAGTAGTCCTTCCCACAGTGCACTCACTTTGGACAGCCTGGTGAGTCGCTTACCAGTCGGGGAACTGGTGCCCTAGCTCTTTAAATACAGAATTAAAGCTTGAATCAGGTCTTACAGTCTTGACCAGATCTAAGGGAATTTCCTTTTCACCTCAGAACCTAGTTGGGTGAAACACATAGGACAGCTAAATTGTGTGGGGATCTTAATCTGATCTGATTTTTAGGGGATTTAACTCCTTGCAAATGCCACTCTGAGAAGATGTTATCCTTTGTTTCTGATAAGGAGAGGATGACTGCTATAGTGATCTTAATGAATTGTTAAATTTGCAGATGGGTATTGGAGGGGGAAGAGTGTCCGCATTGGTTTGGAATAGCGAAGGAATTGATGAATGGGATAGCAATAGAATGTTAAATTTGATCTCTGAATTCAATTGCACTGGTAATATTCAGTGTATCATATCATTGCTGGGTGTAGGCTGCAATTACCATTAATTTATTGTTACAGGATTGCAGTTTTAGCTGTCTGTACTCTGTTTTATAATTATCACATATTTACTCTAATATTAGTATCATACAGTTGTACTCACATTTAATAGTTCTGGGAGCTGCTTGCATTATAATCGCATAAATTATTATTATTGGTATGTGCGTGCCTGGAAAATCACAAAATGTGAGAGGTAGAGCCGTACTTTAATAAAGAATGTCAAGAGCTTGTACATGCTATTATTTTCTTTTAAAGAGCTATTAACTTGAAAGCAATCTTAATAACTCAGTGGAACAATGAGAAGATGCACTTTATTCATAGCAATCCAGATTGAAAACAAAACTATGGGTTGAATCCTGTAGGATTCTGCATGACATGGGCTGAGCTGAAATATGTTTCAGAATTGGATGACACGTCGTGTGAGGCCAATCTCAACATCGGGAGCATCTCATTGCATTTGTATGCTTTTTCCAAGCAGTGTGACAAGTTTCTCACCAAACAGCAACAGTTTCCAATTAAGGCAGATTATAGCTTATTAAACACCTTATTAATGACACACCTCACCTCATTAATATTAGGCTTCCCACCTTATTGAACACGACAAACAAGCTGGATGTAGAAAATTCTCAACATGGAAATCAGAGCAGGTACATTAAGTCATGGGCAGTCTCCAATATCAATTCAGGGCCTTAAACACAATCAGTCAGCCAATCGGGGCATTCAGAGTCAGGATTCTCTCATATAAGGAGAGAAGGGCTGAATTTCGGGCAGCCCACTACCCATCTTTTCTTTGATGCCCCATTGTGGGCTGTTTGCCTCCTGGAACGAGAGAGAGCGGAAGGTATTACGGGAGTTGAAAGTGTGTGGCACAGCTGGTATTTTTGATGAAGGTGGAGAGGTGTACCTAGCAAGTGAGTAGGCAGCGTAGAGGGTATGCAATGAGAGTAGTGTCAGGGGTTGAGGTGGATGAGAGTGAGTGAGGAAAGATGTAGGAGATATTAGTGAGAGTGTAGAGCATGAGCCTTGGTGGGATGTGGGAACAGTAGCAGAGATAGAATGAGTGTGAGGTATCAGAGAGAAGATTGTGGCACTTATGCTGGTGGAATGCATTAGGTCATTGACCACCTTCTTAGGGTGCTTGGCATTTCTCCAGATGGCTGAGACTGCACTGACCCGTATTGCACTCACCTGTACGTCACCCATCCAGCAGGAACTTTGGGTCCCTGCCCACAAAGTGCCCACATGTTGTGAGCCAAATGTCAGGGAACATGCAGGACAGCTCTGGACTGACAGTGTTTTCTAGGTGCACAGCTAGCTTTTAAACATGGTGCAGTAGCAAAGGGTGCAAATGTTTTAGCAGATAGCTGCTGAATGGTGAATTATTCTGGGAATGACTCCTGGTAAGATGGGGATGGAATCAGGAGTGAGGGACAGCACTGAGGTGAGTTAATGAGATGCATTTGATAAGAAACTTGATAAATCTCACTGCCCCCTGCGGTAAGTATCCCTTTAAAAAATTCAAAGCAAACTGCAACAAGCTGTAAAAAAGCATGAAATTTAGCTCTATGCTTTAATTACTGGTCTGAGTATTCCAACATTGAGACATTCAGGAGGGAATTGGATCATTATTGGATAGATACAGTGTGGGAATAAAGCAGGAGATTGTCACTAAGTAATTTCATGTGCCGGTACAGGCATGATGGGCCAAATGGCCTTCCTATGTGCCACAACACTTTTGCCACAAACAGAAAATAAAGATGACATTCAGGTAGAGAAGAATTGAGGTTGTCCAGTGCTGATCTTTTAACAAGGAACCAGAACATAAATTGGTAAAACTCTCTGGACAAGCATAAATGAAACAAAAACAAAATTGCTGGAAAAGCTCAGCAAGTCTGGCAGCATCTGTGAAGGAAAAAAGAGAGTTAACGTTTCGGGTCCAGTGACCCTTCCTCAGAACTCAGTTCTGATTTACAGCATCCGCAGTTCTTTCAGTTTTTATTAAGCATAAATGAAAGATAGTTTCCTGTCAGAGGTGCAGAGATGGCCATTTTTATAGGTGGAAACTCGTTCAGTCTGAGCGGTTTGATGGACAGCTGTAAAAGGTGAAGGAGACTCACACATAAAAAAGTTAAGAGCGCAACTTGCTTATGCCCAAATTTCTGCATTCTGTTAAGCACGTAATTAACTTATGCCTAGATGATACATGTCTCTGAACTCAAATCCAGTGGAAAGTCTTAGGTTTGCTTTCCATTACAAAGCTCTCATTTTGACCAGCAAGATTTTTGGGTCAGTGATGTGCAGCACAAATCTGGAGTAAAGCTCTTCAACAAAACCTGGAGCATTTGACATTGTAAACAAAAATGTTCTGCGAGATTGGGTTCCTCAGCTTCGACCTGCTCAAAGGATACAACTGGAAAGCGTTGCGAAATACCAAATAATAAACTTCTATAAAATCCGTCTTCGGAAATAATTCAGTGCTTCATTCTTAAATTTATGTTTCTTTTCTTTTGTCAGGATATTCCATCCTTCAGGTAATCATGGAAGCTGCCGTTCAGAATAACTGGCAAGTTACAGCAAAATCAGTTGGAAGCATCACTGATGTGATGGAATATAGAAGAATCTTTGAGGAAATGGACAAAAGACAAGAAAGAAGATATTTAATAGACTGTGAACTAAACAGACTAAATGCTATTCTGGATCAGGTAATTGCTGTTTGTGTAGTACCTTTATTTTTAACAGAAAGAATTATTTTGTATTCATTGTGGTGGCATTGTGATCCTGTTAAACCCAGTGCTGGTAATGCAACAGTAGACTTTCTGTTCTAATGCAAAGCCACATCCATCCTCACATCCCCAGCAGACTACCTACTGATAATGTCGAATTTACTCAGCAAGAATGCTGTAATCCTGCTCTCTTTGAGTTGCTGCCTCATATACACATTATAAGAGGATCACTCTAATAGCATTAGTGTTGGTGGTGCTGGTTGTGAAAGATTGTAAGCTCAATTGAATAATGTAGTTTTGAAGGTCAGCTCACAAGGTTTATAGCCATGGTCTTAAGTGTTACTTACATTTACTACTCCTTTGCTTTTCACTGCAGCTGTAAAAATAAAAATTATTCTCTCTATACATTCTCTATAATCAGGCTAGCTTTTACTCACTGCTTCACTTGAATTGATAACTTCTATTGCCTGATTAAAACATCCTAATAAGATAGTTAGTTCTTCAGGTAATAGAAAAGTGGTAGAAGTCCACTGACATTTCACATAAAAATGAGTGAAAAGGCAAGCTTTGTAATAGGAGGCAATCTGGTTTATGATGTTGCTTTTAAATTTGAGGCAGCACCATTAGCCAGATTTTTGTTGCAGGCGTAATTAAAATCCCAAGATGGTTTTCAGTACCAGAATATAGCAGCACAATCTTTTGATGCCGTCATTGATCTTACATGAAACTTTGTCATGCCTTCCTGTTAAATTTATCCCAATTGATGTATGCTGATTTATGTTGAGCTACATTCATGAGAAATTATATTCCATAGAAATATGGACATTTTTCTTCCATGCATCTAGTAAAAGTTACACTCCTGAGGACACGTGCTATAAATTAATTGGGTAAAAATTATGATTAATAGATAACCCTTCAATTTGACAGTAAAGACTGAATGTTAAGGAAAATGCAAGCACGCTATTCAAGCATCACGGGAAAGGGGTTGGGTTGTTACTTTTAAACAGTTGAGGGTAATGAATGAAGAAAAGAACAAAGAAATAGGTGATTTTTTTTTAGAAGCTGATAGATTCGAAGTGGTAACCATTTACCAGCAACAACATAGTCAGGCTCATAGATTAAAGTAGGGGGAGAAAGATAAAGCAGTGGTAACAGAAGGTTTACATTCTAAATCTCTGACTACACAGCAGGAACCAGAACCTTATAGATATTGGAAAGATTGAAAAGGTGAACTAATTCTAAATTTTGGAGAAAGACTTCTATGGAAACATTATTTTGTAACTCAAACTTCCCCTGTCCACTCCTGCTTTCCCACTGTATTTGTATTTCAAAATGAGAAAACCAGTCTGAAAGGCCATGTACCATACTGCAGGCTGCCAACAAATTTCATGGGGTGGGTGGGATGGGGGTTGGGAGGGTGGTAAATCAAGAATTAATCTAGTGCATAATTTGGGATAGTTTCTAACATAGTGGATGCTGTCTTGACGGATTTTCAGAGGACTTTCAATACAGGAGATTATTAGTAAAAGTGAAAGTACGCAAAATCAGAGAAAGCCTGGTGTCATGTATTGATAATTGGTCAGAAAGTTAGAAGATGGAGGGTTAGGATAGACAATACATATTCTGGTTGGACATGGCAAGACATCTGTACAAAGTCCAACATTTTTCACAACACAGAATTAATGACATGGATGAGGGAAAAGAGGGATGAACTATAATCTGGGCATGCCTAGACAAAGAGGCCTGATACTAACTTGAAATTGGTCCTTGGGCCTCATGAGGAATTTACCCTTTTGTATATTCATAGGCAGATTGTACTGAGTGTCAAACCATTTGTGTTACTGACAGCTGTCTGATGATAAGTTCCAGGAGGAAGTTGAGGTGGCAAGGTCAGCACAATGATTGGGAAGACGATTGCTCCTCCTGGTGCCACAGAAAAGATTTTTACAGGCAAACCTTAACAAAGAGGATCTTTAATTGGTGACCAAAAGGGTCAATAAGTTTCAAGCAGAACACGGCAGGTGCTGGTCCCATTTGGCATTCATTAATTTACTGAGGAGGAATCCTTCAAAATGATTCAACCCTTCATTTCATTTTTAGGCAACTTACTTGTTCAGATTGTCTGCCTCAGATACCCAATAAAAAGGGCCTCCTGAATTTAGCAATTGATTAAATACCTGGGTAGTTTGGGCACAAGCTATCCCACTGCTAACTCTGTATGCATTGTCCCTTGTTCGCCATAAAATTGTAAATCCAAATTTGTAGATCACACTAAGGTAAGATACCTGGTGAAATGTGGAAGTAAATTACAAGGGGAAATAGACTGAATGGGACAAACCTATGGCAGCTGAAGCTTGATGTGTTCAGAGTGGGACCATCTGCTTTTGATTCATTAGAAATTAATCAGAATATTTTCTTCACGGTACGAGGCAAGGAACTGTGAGGATTGCTGGCCAGTTATGTAGAAAGGCCAAATGAATAAAACGGAGAGACAGGCCGACATAAGCAGGTGGTGAAAACAAATATATTTTCTACGTCTCTGATTATTCAGTAGGAGACAGAACCTTTCAACCAACAGCGTGTAAGTAAATCATTTAAAACTAGTGCACAGACTCAAAAATAAAACATATTAAAAATGAATTGTATAGCTTTTTAATGCCAAATTGAGGAAATTATGCAATAGTTGCAGACCTTTGGTCAAATCTCGTCTGAAGTACAATGTTCAGTTTTGGAGTTAGTTCTCAGCAAAGAAATAGCTATGGAGGATTCTGTCCAACACTGAGTCACCAGAATGAGATCCCTGTCTCCCTGCATTGACTCAAACATTTACAGTGCAATTCATTTTCACTCTGAGTAGACCTTAAAGAGCTGATTTGTTCAAACATTTTCACAGATTATTCTTTTCTTTTGTGGATAGGCGGTAAATGTTGGTAAAAACATCCGAGGCTACCACTACATGTTGGCTACTCTGGTAAGTGCTTTCTTTGTGTTGATTGAATCTATAAAAGGATGGCTAAGTGATGTATGAGTTAGAAATTGATCTTTTAACTCTAAGTTTGCATCCAACTCAAACTCAGGATTTGCTGCCCACGTGGATCCAATTGAAATTAATTTAGTCACTCGCTATCCATTGCCAAATGAATATTGGTCCACAATACCTAACTGATATTAACCATTAAGCATTGAGACCAAAGGTTGTAAGCTCAAAGGCTGGGTGCTGTGAGATATATGGAAAATTGCATTAGTGCAATGGAGATACATGGGACACATCATCAGAATGAGGAAAGAGTAGGGAGAAATTCACTCTGAACAAAACTATGTTATAGCTCATAAAACAAAATACTTTGGTTTCTGACAATCATAAATAGAACAGAAAATGATTGAAATGCTGAGCAGCTATGGAGAAAGAAACAGAGTTAATGTTCATATCCATGTCTTTTGAGTTAGAAATGTAATAAATTTTAAAATATGAAGGGAAGTGGAAAAAGAACACAGGTGAGATCTGTTACAGTGTGGAAGATAGAAATGTTTAAAGGACAAAAGAAGCTGGCATTGCAAGGCCAAAGAGATTGGCACTGAGACAAGATAAAGAAACGAACCATGCTTCCAAAGACAGTGTTCATGGCAAAAAGATGAATAGCTGCCATTGCAGAAGCAAAAACAAGAGAAATACAAGCAAAAATCTAATCAAGCAAAGGGAAAGGAGACAAAATGAGGACAGAGGTTATCGCCTAAAATTGATGAATTCAAATGTTGAGTCCAGATGTTTGGAAATTCCCTAATTGAAAGACAAGGGGCTGAACTTACAGGGCGAGGGACACAGTCTGCAACACATGGCTGTTTGTCCCCCCAACTGTCCCCCACCTCCCGGAAGAAAAACTGTAAATTAATAGACCTGACAGAACTCCCTTATCTTGCTGTGGAGTGCTACATTGTTTAATTGTGAGACTTTTCTGTTGCTTTCTGGAGAGGTGCACTCTCAGAAACTGATGACCTTAATCGGGAGGTGAGATTGCGAAGAGGGGACACAGAAGCCTCAGCTGTGGGTAGGGGGAGAGGAGATAAAAGACTCTGCAAAGGATGGAGAGAGGCTGCGCTGTGATCAGAGGGACTGCACATGTTGGGGGCATGGACTGGGGAGTGAGGACCTGCAAAATAGGAAGAGAAGCTGCAGCTGGGGAGAGGACTTCCAAATGGTAGAGAGGAGATGGAAAGGGGAATGAGAGGCTGTTATGAGGAGTGGGTGTATGAAATGAGAAATGAGAACCTGAAATGGTTGAAGGGGTATGACAAAGGGGAGAATGAAGCTTCAAAGGGGAACAAACAGTTTTAACAAACTAGGTTTTAATGAAGAGTTGCAATTTTTAACAAAGAAATATTCATCTAACTCTGAACAGCAAAACTGAGGTAATGAATTCCTTGCAATTAACATAGAGTGTTTAGGTTAAAGTTCAGGTCAGGAGCCACTACATGGGGGAAAATGTAATTGATATTCTATTGAACATTGGGTCAATTATATAATTTAATATTGAATTGTTTTATTTCATAACAATTTGCTTCTACGTGTTATCACATCTCAAAGTGTTTAACATACAATAAATTACTTTATATGCTGTGCTCTGTTAGAGATAAATATGCATTGATTTAGTTGTGAGTTTAGTCATGGAAAGCATGTTTAGGGTGATTCCCTTTTGTGTATAGAAATGTGTCAGTTATGTTTTTTTATTAAAACCTTTGCTAACTTATATCAGCTCTTTTGTGTGGATTTAAATACCATGGTTTCTAGAAAATTAATATCCTTGTGATTTTTTTGCTTTAAATTGAGCAGTGATGAACTGAGGATACTGATGAATTCTAATTCTGCTTCTCATGTGATGTCAGACTCCCATGATATAGTCACAAATGCAGAGGTGTTGTTATAAAGTGCGTGCACACCTAATTAAGGAATTAGTGAGACTGAAAAAGAAGCCCTGGAAACCCAAAAAGTGAAAAGGTGGACTTCAAGAAATCATAAGAGGACCCTCCTCATATGATTTAAAATATAATTTGAACCCTGAGGGAAAATGTACCTGGTGTAATTCTGGGAGGGCTGAGAGAAGAACTGCAGGTAATGGGTTATGTGAAACTGAGGGACTTCTTAACCACAATGGAGTTGAGTCCACGATTGTGGAAAATTAAGACATATCAGAAGCATAAATATGAAAGATTAAATCATCAGAACAGATGCAACGGAAATAAAGAAACTAGGAGAGTGAAATGGATTCTTTATAGGAAGCAGATTATATGGAAGTGTAGTTAAGGTGACTACAGGAGCAGGTGGGCTTACAATGAACATTTGAATTCCCAAGAAATTGGGATAGAAAAATTGAGAAAGGAAAAGGAAGAGTTGAAATTGGGCTATATGAAGATGAGAGAGGGATGGAAATTGAAAAACACAGTTGATGAAATGTTCCAAGGGTAGATTCAGAAATATCATCTGTACAGTCATCAGTGTAATGGAAAAAGAGGTGCTTGGGTAGGACTGGAACAAGCACAGTGACGAGACAATGTGAAAGAACAAGCAAAAGCCTGGCATAATAGGACTCATGAGGGTACCTATTGCAACACCTCCATTTGAAGGAGGTGAATGGAGTTGAAGGAGGGTTTGTTGATTGTTCAAACAAGTTCAACCTGGCAGAGGACAGTGGTGGTGGATAGAGTTTGTTTGTACTTCCATTCAAGAAAGAATGGAGAACCCTAAGGCCATCTTCATGATGGAAGGGTTGTAGGGAAATTGTGTGAACATGGTGAAGAGGAGATGTTTTGGAACAAGAAAGTGGAAATTGTTAAATTAACATCTCATAAAATAATAAAGTAGTCCATTCCCACCTTCAGTAACACCTGAACCAATTCATACCTGAACTTGTAAGTGACAAGTGCCATTCATGCCACACAAGTATCAGACCATAACGATATCACAAGAGAAACTAACCACCTACACTTGGACGTTCATTGACATTATCACCAATGAATTGCCCACCAATAACATCATGGGGAGAGTCACCATTGACTCGAAGCAAAACTGGAACAGACACATAAATACTGTTGATACAAGGGTAGGTCAGAGGTTGTTTATTCTGTGATGAATGACTCACCTCTCCACTCTCTAAAACTTGATGACCATCGACAAACCATAAGTTAGAAGTGTGGTGGAATATTTTCCATTTAACTGGATGAGTGCAACTCAAATCACACAAAAGAACTTGACTCCACCCAGGACAAAGCAGTCATTGCCAGTCAGTCCACCACTTTAAATATTCACATCCTCAACCACTGATGTACAATAGCTGCAATGTGTATCATGTATAAGATGCACTGCAGCAACTTGCTAAGGTTTCTTCAGTAGCACCTCCAAAATGTGCAATCTCTTCCACTTAGAAGAACAAGGGTAATATACACATGAAAACACAAATAGCTGCAAGTTCCCTCTAACTCATACACCATCATGACTTGGAACTATGTGTCCATGTCTTCTTCATCACTGGATCAAAATCCTGAAACTCTCTATTTATCACTACCATGTGTACCTACACCAAGCTGGCCACAGTGGTTCAAGGACGAGTTTCACCACCTTCTCAAAGGCGATTAAGAATGTACCATTCATGCTAGCTTCACCAATGACAGCCATGTCCCATTTAAAAGAAAGACCATGCTCCATCTTTTCCTGAGCACCACATACATTTTCTGCTAGGATTGAGAGAATTAAAACCAATTTTTCAACTTCATTCTTATGAATCATTTTCAAATTTGCTCTCTGTTTAGTTCTTCTTCATTTTTGAATCATTTACCATCACTTTATTTTGCTTGTTCTTTCACATTGCCTCGTCACCTTGCACAAGTCAATTTAATTTTCCATTGCTCTGTTTTTGTGTAAAACTAAGGTAATAAGCAAGTGGTGCAATGCCAGAAAATTGCTTCTGACGTTTGGCTAGTGCCATTTGACCAATCTGAAATAAACAGTTGCAATGAAAAATTTGCAACCAGTGAAGCCCAGAGAGCAACCTGAGCAACACTGCATGCTCCCTGTAAATTGTGCTTACTCTAATGCTAACCCTGTCGCACTACTGCAAAGCCATTGGCAATGTGCCATGCAGGAGACCAAAAGACAATGCTTCCTTCAAGATGTGTGCATTTCCAACTATAGTGCAATCTTAAAGGGACTGCACAGGACAAATAAAAATTAGACAAAACACTAATTGCACTGGTTGCAAATTACATTCTGACCGTCATGAGAGACCCCTTCAAATTCTTAGAGGTGCACAAAGTTCTATCCTGGCAATAAATTTTAAGCATCACAAGACTGAGGGGAGACATATCAGCACCTCCAAACATCTGAAGTTGAACAAAACAAGGAAAACAAATCTAAGCACTGTTCAATTCTAACTTGGCCCAGTGTGATGCTCAGTTCAGAATTAGATAACCTCCAGTAAATGCAGATATATCAGGGTTTTTCCTCTGAAGGCATTTTCTCATCATTACAAAATGAAAAGTGTTTCAGTGTAAAAATAAATCACAGTTTAACTGCATCCTGAAATTATCCGAGAAAATGCATCCTGCTTCATAATTCCTAAGATGACTACGGTGGGCAATTTCACAATTCACTGGGCAACTCAGAAAAATCTATAGAAATAGACATTTGCGAATAAATGTTTTCTGTATTTTTATTTTGATCACTCCTGCTGTACAGTATAGGAATCCCAGTAAGGATTTTTAATCAGGCCTGAAGAAATCCTATCTAGTTTATTGCACTGCAGATATTTCACGATTGATATTTTGTCAGTTATTGGTTGAACCTTCTCAGCTCAATCATGCATGTGGTACTTGCAAATGACTACGCTTTCTTTCTTAAACTAGGAAAGAATAGTGCATTGCCTCTGGTACAATATTGCCTGAACACCAACAGTAGCTGAGGTAATGTAGCAAATCAAAACAGTGCAGATTTTACTAATTGGACAGCAAAGTACACAGCTTTGCCACATGTCAAAACTGACTGTGTGTTGCCAAAATCAGTCCTAAAGACAACTTTGAATTGATTAGTTGCTACAAAAACAGGTCTGAGTTTTTATTTGATAAATCATTGTGAAGCTTAGCTTTCAACTGCTGCTTGTGAAGCTCTTTCTTCACAGCAGCAAGTGTAATGCAGAACAGTGCTACCAATCTGCATGATGCTGTCTTTACTGTGCATTTTACCGTACTTCTCATTCATCACTAACCCTGTCAAATGATTCATTTACATGGTGAGCATAATGTTGCATGTATTGTTCTTCAAGACAATTTGTTTGAGAAATTGCATCTCAATAACTGAAAATGCCTAGTGAAACTAAAGATCCTTTATGCTTTGCTAATTCCTTGCTGAATATGTCCTGCCACCTTCAAAGATCTTTTCACATGAACCCTCAGGTCCCTCTGTTCTTGCAGTCTTTAAAACTGTGTCATTAAATCCATATTATCTCACCTGCCAAAATGCATCATGTCACAATCCTCTGCATTAAAGTTCATCTGCCACTTGTTTTTCCATTCTCCTAACCTATCTATGTCTTGTGTCTGGAGTCATTATCTGCCTCTCCTCTGACTCACTGTGAGATGAGGCAAATAGTTCTGAGGTGGGGGCTCACCAGACCCGAGACGTTAACTCTGATTTTTTCTACACAGATGTTGCCAGACCTGCTGAGCTTTTCCAGCAACCTCTGTTTTTGTTACTGATTTACAGCATTCCGCAGTTCTTTCGGTTTTTATTCAAATAGTTGGGGATTGTTCTAGAAGCAGTTAGACCCTGAGCTATAGGGACTAAATTTGTCTTAGGAAGTAATGTAATAGGGTCAATGGTAAATCAAAAGCCTATTTTACAGTTTTCTTTTCCATTGTCTTTGGCAACTAGCAACTTCCAAAAGTGCATGGTAGCTACAAACACACACTTCAGGATTCTCAAATGTGTGAATCACATTCCAGCACGAGACAAATATTCTAACCACAACGTCCACTACAAAACAGATATGGTGCAAATGTCAATTGTTATTCATCTGGCATATGAGTCCATTCTTTTCAACTGTCAAGTTGCAGAATTCAGTTATTAGGACACAGGGATTTTTAGGTTATTTGATCGCTGAGAAGCATCACAGTTGAGTGAAGTTTTATCCTAAACCAAAGTTCACAGATATGAACTGCACAACACATTCCTGGGCAGGAAGTTTAGAAAGAAATCCTGACTGACTATGTTCTCCTGCGTGCTAAAGTCTCCGACGGAGGATGAAATCCAACAAACTGTGCAGTAGCTAGGGATCAAACCCAGAAGTTTTTATCTATGCAAGTACGTCACATAATACTTTCACCTGCAGAAGGCATCCAGAGAGTCAAGACATCATACTTTTTAAAAAAAATGAATAAGGCATTGTGTGAGAAAATAATTCATCAAGATTATGTAAGATGGTACTTTGTTTCAGTGGTTGAATTGTGCCTGTCTTCTTTGTTCATTGCAGGGCTTCTCTGATCTCGTACTTGATAAATTTATTGAGACAGGAGTCAATGTCACTGGCTTCCAGCTTGTGAATTATGACAATCCAATGGTGCAAAAATTTATGCAGAGGTGGACAAAGCTAGATCAGAGAGAGTATCCTGGAACTGCTGCCAGCACGTTAAAGGTATGGTCTTCACCCTGTAAAATATTCAACCGTCTAGCATTGTTCTGTGTTACAAATTCAGTAGAGAGTAGGTCACACCTTAAAAGTAGAACGGTTGGGATATTTCAGGCTACCTTGTTAATGGTTAAAAGATTCACTCTATAAAATAATTTGCAAAAATTCTGAAATCAGAAACAAAGAAAAACTGTTCAAAGTAACTATGAGGCTATAAAAAGAACAATGGGAATTTAGTCTTACACATAGCTTCAGTTAAATTATAATGAAAAATGTGTCATATGCTCGTATATTAGACAATATGTTTAAGTCTTTAATTGCCATTTGAAGTTTTTATCTTGTTTTATATGTGAAACATTGAAATGGCTAATACAGTAGCTCATTCTGGGGAGCATGGCCGCCATGATCCCATATTCCTGCCCAATCAGTACTGACTGGCATCACAAACCTCTTCCAGATTTAAGATCTTCTTCAGTCTCTCATTCCACTCTCAAACTTCCAGTGTCTTTCAGAAGATCCCAGTCTTCTACTTCTCTTTTTCAGGGTTTCAGTTTCCCACTGTTGTCTCCTGCTGTTGGTTTTCTGTTTTCCTTCTTTACAATCTTGGCCTCTGGTCCTTGTCTATAGTGGCAGCAAATTGTCAAACACTCAGCACAGATAAAAATCACATTTGCATTTGTTTTCTGGGAAATGCAAGACACTCTTAAAAAAAGTGACATCCAGAAAAGAATATGACAGTGTTTTGGCAGTTGATCAGAGCTGAAAAGCTACAGAGATCTCCTCTATACAGCAAAATGGATGTCAATAATAAGATTTAGGCATAGATCGCGTGAAAAAGACAGGAGTCATCAAAGCCACTTTGAGCCTTAAAAAAAGGGGAAGCCTGGTGGATCCAGAGGCTGGTTCCAAGATGGTTCCAAGGTGGCTCTAGTGTTCCAAGGTCATGAGTACCTCGTTCCAGAGTTAGCCAGAGGCAGTTGAAGAATTCTGAAAATGATAACCAGGAAAAGATACCACTGGAGATACAATGCAGGAGCCCTGAGAGTGGGAAGTAACGAGAACGGTCCCAGCGTTGTGTAAAAAGGATAAAAAGACCAGAAGAAAGTAACAAACCATCAAAGGTAATAGAATTCAAGGAGAAGGGAGAAATCTCCTAAGACATCAGAAGGAGGCCACCAAGAGGCAACTAACCAAGAAAGAAGTCTCAGGCAGTGTGTTGACGCTGCATGGAGGGTCCATGTAAGTAAGGCTATGGGAGGCCTTAGGAGAGATGAGAATGGATTGCAATTCAGCCAGGGAGTTAATGTTGGAACGCAGCCCGAAAGATAAGATTGAAGCACCAGGAAATGAGCAAGTGTCTACACAGAGCGAAATTGGAGGGTGTTAAAAAATGGAGTCTTTGAGTGAAGAGTGAATACCCCTGGGAGGAAAATCCAAGTATTAACAAGATTTTTGTGGTTTACAGTGATTATTGACATCTGGGTGAGGCTGCAAACAAATTCTTGATTGTATCTGTAGTTTACTGTGCAGGGTATTGTGTTTAACCCCAAAACCAATGCAGTTTTGTGGCTTTATTCTATCAGTAGTGATCTGAGATCCCAAACATCTGTTTTGTTTAAATAAAAGCTATTGGTCCCTTACCAGAACTCAACTAAACTTGTAGGTCTGATCAGGGATCATAATGCTTGAGACTTGTTTTAGACTAATGTGGAGCAAACAGATCTGAACTACAGTAGTGATTCTGGTTTGCATTCCTGCCATTGATCTGTACCTTCACTCACCAAGAGTTTTCAAAGATTTCAGGTCGTCCAAATGTTTTACTTTTAAATCAAGCCAACTGCAGTAACATACAGACATGGCACTACCTGGAGGTGTTTCATGATACATCTTTAAATGTGATTTGGCCATTTCACACTGAAATTATAACAAGAGATACTGCCAGTGCAAAGATATATAGCATAACTGACTTATACAAATGCATAATTTCAGACGAACTTAGTTCCTGTAGATGACTGGAAAATAAAACAGTTATGATGGGAAATTTACAATCAATTGGGGCGGCACAGTGGCTCAGTGGTTAGCACTGCTGCCTCCCAGGGCCAGGAGCCTGAGTTTGATTCCACCCTCAGGTGACTGTCTGTGTGGAGTTTGTACATTCTCCCCGTGCCTGTGTGGGTTTCCTCCCACAGTCCAAAGATGTGCAGGTTAGGTGGATTGGCCATGCTAAATTGCCCATAGTGTTTAGCATTGTGTGGATTAGGTGGGCTATAGGCGGATGTGTCTCGGTGGGATGTTCTGAGGGTCAATGTGGACTTGTTGAACCGAAGGGCCTGTTTCCACATTGTAGGGATTCCATGATCTATGAATTAACTCGTTTGAGTTCAGCAGTCTGATGTTAGTTACTAGGTTGTTTGTATATGAACTGTTAACTATCATTTACATTTAACTCAGGAAATGTTGCAATATGTGTTGCAAGGTTGCAATTGTAACATACATTAAATTAAAATTGTTTAAGCAATCAATTGCTATGTGCAGTTGTCCATTTGGTTTGCAGCTTTTTAAAATAGCATACAAAGCAAAGACATTCAAATTTATTAATACCGTTATTGCTAATTATTAATATTGTACAATACAATTTCAAGATGTTTGAGATATATTTTCTATAAGACTTTCCACTCAATTAAAATATAAAATACAGAAAAGATTCAGGAAATGGGATTTAGCTTAAACACAGTTTCTCTGGTGCCTTAGCTCTCACATCTATGCTTCAACCTTCACAGGATTTTTGTTTCTACTGTCGAAAAATCTATTCCAATCATTTGTCACTAACAGCAGCTCATGCTATTATCAATGGCATGTACTGTATTGACATAAATAATGAATGATTATCAACATCATGAAAATGAGCAGAGGGCAAGATTGATACTTCCAAAATTTCTGATCGTAGAAAAAGGGCACTGAGGATTAGGTCTCCCAAAAGGTCTTTGGAATTTAACTGCAGAGCTGCTTTTAAAAAAAAATTCTGCAAGGCTTCTGCACACAGACAGCCTGATTGACAGGATGAAGGTCTTTCTGGCTGGAAATCATATTCACAAGGTCAAAGCCTAAGAGCGTATTGGGGAGTCTCTAGGCAGGTCCTGATCATAGATGCAGGACCAGATGTGGCTGAGGGGATATTGAGGCTAAATGTAGGTTCCTGATCACACAGCGGGGCGCAAAGAGTGTGAGCACAGGGTGAGTGGTGATAGGATTCAGTGCAGCACAATCACAATAAAGGCTTAAGGATTGGAAGGTGATCATGGGGTGGAGGGCATTGTAGTTCACTGGAAAGCAGGAAAGGGAAGCAGACAGTTTAGTGTTAGCTTGTTGGGCCTTTGTAGCACTTAGTTCCTGGCCTATAAGCAGTGCTGTGAAGTCACTTACCTCATAGATTAAGCCACTCTTGCCTCCATTAAACTGTCAAGTTTCCCAGAGGCCCAGGAAACCAGGTCAGCTGCAGTTAAAAATGGAATGACTGTAAGTCTGCAACCTATTTTAGTATTGAAACGACCAAGCAAATTCTTATAAACTATTTGGTTCCCCACATCTAGTTCTTACTTTGGTTAAGACCGGAACTGGTTGAGTTCCGTTTCCGTTCAAATTATCTTGCCTCTGATGTGACCTGAATCTATACATTTTCAGGAGTTTCGATTCAGCCTTTTGCGTCAGCCATTTGTTTCTTGCAAGCTCATGAATCTTTAATCAAGCATAGAGTAGAATATCCTTTTATTGTCAGGTTGGAATCAGATGCAAAATTAAATAGCTTTCATGGCACAGCTTCAAAGAGGATAATATCGAGATTGCGCATAATTTTACTCAAACAGAAGTAATCGATCCTGCTCTGTGACTTCAGCAATCTGAAGGCTGATGGTCAGTAAATGTAATAAGTTCCAATCTCTAAAATAGGTGAGTTCTTGCGGGCCTTGATGTTACACCTACCCACTTGATCAATCCCGTAACTGCATTTGTCTTGGCTGTCTGCTCGGGCTGGTTTTCAGTTAGAGACATCACCTCCTGCAAGTGGGACCAGAAGGCTGTGGTGACCCAGGGCTTCATGTATGATGTCATAGTATCAAGGCTTGATTAAGGGCAGGCACCTGAACCGGAGTGGGTTCTGCAATATCAGTCACTTCTTTACAAGTTGGGCAAGTGGATATGATATGAAGCAGCTCTGAAGGGAACAGGGGAAGTGTCCTGGTGGCTGTGTGGGTGGAAGAAATGTTTGAAGCTTGATTAAACATCTAGGTGTTCCCAAGGCTGTCAGAAAGCAGAGGGAAGTCCTATTCCTTGACATAGGCAGGAGCAGACAGGCAAGGCAGAACAAGCAGACTGGTGTCAACATTGCCTGGTTGATGAAAAGAGATCAGCGACCTGATGAATTCTAGTAAGGTGAGTGAAGTTTATTCTGAGGTCTTTGAATGTGTCTGAGGGAGAATAAAAGTTAAGAGACAGGGTTCTCCAATCTGTCAGTGAAAATGCCCAGGCTGTACAGCCAGTGATTGATTGTATGCAGGAGGCTTGCCTGTATCACCACATTGAACAGTCAGGCTGCCTGTATCACCACATTGAACAGTCAGGCTGCTACCATCTTTTGATGGTGACTAACAACGGGAATGCATGCGCTTGTAGGAGAGAAGAACTCATATTGTTCAGCAAATATGCAGAAACAGAGGAGGACTGCCTTCCAGGGCCATCCTCACTCCTCCAGAGAAAGAAATGGTGCAGCTGTTGGAATGGAGGCAGGCCAGGCTATTAGGGATGGCAAGGTAGGTTTGGGACTACAAGAGAGAGTGGCCTAATGAAGGAATTGAAAAGACTGTGGTAACAGCAGAGATTCAGATGCTGCATAATGAGAGGGATCAGTTGGAAAGCGTACTGCTCTCTTATCAGCCTTAAAGGACCACAAGAAATAGGAGCAGGCCATTCGGCCCCTCGAGCCTACTCCGCCATTCAATAGGATCGTTGCT